GTTATCAGAATCGGGTCATATCCCCTTTTGAATGGTGTAAAATTCCATCACATTTATATACACTAAACTCATTATAATTTGACAAATAATAGCTTTGCAATTATGTTCATTCTTTATGGGATGTCGTCTGCTTGGGCAGTATTGGTCCCTGTTGTGACGTCATTAAAACATCGTTATTTTTCTGGCGAATCTCTCGTATATCCCAGCTGCTATGGAGGTGGTTGTATTTGTATTTTTATAAATCACCCGATATGTAGCTGACCTCAAACTTGTACGATGGCCATCTGTTAGCTTACCAGTTCCTAGTGATACATTAGTTGACATATTTGTGATTTTCTTTGAATTTCACCTTTAACATTGTTCAGATGATAGAAAATGGTGATAAGGTAGTGACTTCAATGCTTGATATACATTTAAAGATAATCTAAAAGTTTGAGTGAAAACAGGCTATCATTAATGATCAAAATTTGAAAAAATGATCTGCTTAATTCCGGAATTCTCCCAACTATATTATCATATGTATCAACTAGGTTTTTAGCAAGGACAATTAAAAAAAAAGTATTACCAGTCGTTCGACTGTAGTAACACTCCTTCATAAAGAAAACAACATCTTAGGCCAGCCCCCAGGGGTTGTTAAAGAGAAGGGAATGCGAGGGATATGAAGGGAAACAACATCAGTGTCTGTAACAGCAGCTTAGCAATCTATAACCCGTCATTATCTAAGATAATTTTTATTTTGTTATCATTTCAACGCATACACTCAATAAGGATACATTCAGCTTAGTTCCCATCATCCTGAGCTGGTTTGTATGGAGTGTTGATGCATGGCAGTTGTACAAGTTGTAGGGCTTGCTTGCATGAATGCCAACCAGGTAATCTGTTGAATGAATAATAAAAGAAACATATGCAAACAAAATCTAGTGATAAACTTTGCACATTATAAAAGAAAAAGAAAAACATCATAACACTTTTTTTTTACTCTTTTTACTGAATTTTTGTAAGATAATCACACTGTGATTGGATTACCCTTTAGCGTTTACGGTTAGACTTCATGCATCGTAGGACTCTACGAGTTCGCTGCCCATCGACTAAAAAGTTATGAGTCTTATGTTTTTATCAAGTTTATGACAGAGATATAACCGTGTCAGAGGCGTCATAAATACATACGGTAGCCTACTTAGTCAGGATGTTGTCCTTAATCTTGGCAAAGAGGTCTTCGTGAAACATGTAGCGGACAAGTAGCTTACTAAAGCTGATTTGGTCAAGAAGTTAGACTTATGACGGTTTCGAGAAACGGGCCCCTGGCCTGGGTGCTAGCCGTAATTCGCTAAATAGACTAGTGAATACCTAATAGTAATATAGATCTAACTTAAAGTGACTCGGTAACATTGCCTCAGATTCTGAAACGAAATCATGGATTTAGCTCATGCTGCAATCATAATTTTAAACCTTTAGCTTAGCCTCTGTTAGGTCAGTCAGGAATCCCGTGACTTTTACAAGCCAATCGTCTGTCTGATTATCAAGTTATTTATGATTGGAAATCGAAATCAAACTTTGCGTTTTCCTAACGGTTTTTATAAACTAGGGCCTAAGCCTAGTCTATTCAGGAAAATAAGTATGGTAAAACCGGTCACTCAAAGGTTATTACTTTTTTGAGCCACTTCATGATCATTTTGAAGCGAAATTTGTTTAGGGCTTCAATATTCAGTAGGGAAGCTGGTACAAGAATAAGGATCATCTGCATTTTCGCAGACGTTTCCAATTTCCAATCCGCGCGTTGGTGATGCGGAAAACGGATTCCGCGATGTTTTTATTGATGCATTTTACATTGACTTAAGTTTGTACAGAGACTTTCACATTAGGGGCGATAAATCCTCGAGAAGACGGACAACCCATAAAAGAAGATGGCGCTTGTTTAGAAACCTATCCAAAAATTTGACCCGTAACTCATGGAGATACCCTACTAAAACATACCCAAAATGAAGTAAATATTCATTAAATGTCCAAATAAAAATTGTGAGTTAAAGGGTTGTTATGTTTATTACCTGTTTCGTGTCAATTTTCTTGTTATTTTTGGAGTATTTTTCGGAAAAACGATGATATCAGTATACCTACACTTTTTCACGGCAAACCGCTGCACAATACAAGTGCAAACCGATGGTGGGTTGCGGGCGGATGCGCGCCTGTGTGAAGTAATGTCTTGGATCCTCATTACGGTAGATAACTTCACACAGTCGTGCGCCCGCCCGCAACTCACCATCGATATGCACTTGTATTGTGCAGCGGTTTGCCGTGAAGCCTGAGAAAAAGTGTATAGTAATATCATTGTTTTTCCGAAAAATACTCCAAAAATAACAAAACAACTGACACGAAACAGGTAATGAATATACCGGTAATGACTTTTAACTCATGATCTTATTTGGACATTTATTGAATATTTACTTCATTTTGGGTACCGGTATGTTATAGTAGGCAGTGGCGTAATGAGCAAAAACGTTTGGGAGGGCTGACAAAAAAAAAAATCTGAATCACCCCACTCTAACATGCAGGCCCCGCTGAATTACATTTCTCAAAGTGGGGTCTAGGGGCAAAGCCCCGGTGGGGTTCAAGGGGCGAAGCCCCCGAAGCTCAAGGGGTATGGGCATCAGTGGCGGATCCAGGAATTTCTTACCGGGGGGGAGGGGGGGGGGGCACAAAATGGCATGGGGTGAAATATATGTAAAACGATGAAGTAACAGAACGAGGCTTTAACGGCGAGGGAGCGGAGCGACCAAGCAGGGGGTGGGTCTGGGAGGGGGTCCTGGCCTCCTCCCAGAGTAAGAAGCATTTGCAATTTTAGAACCAAATTAGACCCATTTTCAGGCACTTCCTGGAGTAATATGACGTAAAATTGCTTTCTCCTACCCCTTCCAAGAGTAGGGATCTTTTGCAATTTGAGAACCACATTTGGCGCATTAATGTCCACCGGCACTTCATGGAGAAAAAAGAGGCCCTCTGATTAGATAGAAGTTAGAGAAAAGTGATCTGTCACGTCGTGAGAAGTTGTATAAATTATGCTTTGATGCCGCACAATGCACAAATACGGTGGTCGGTACTTCACCAGTAGTACTTGCAAAAATTATCTCGAGTGTACAGTATAAACTGTGTCGTTATCAGGGGCGTCGCTAGATTTTTTTCAGTGGGGGAGGGGGGGGGGAGGGTGTAGAGGCCGCCGATTACCTACAAAACGAGCCACCAATATTATTACCGACAAATATAAAAATGTCAATGTCCAAATGTCTACAAATTTTACCCTTTAAACCCGGGGCCAGGAACTAAGTTATTTTTCAGTTTTCCCCTCCCGCGCGAAGCGCGGAAGCTTTTACACTTCTTTAAATTATTAGAGAAAGAAGACGATCCGTTGTACTGTTCTCAACTCTTAAAGCTTGTTTTGCTCCTCCCGCGCAAAGCGCGGAAGCTATGACGTTTCATTTAATTATTAGAGAAAGAAGACGATTCATTGTACCGGTCCCGACTCTGAATCCTTGTCTGAATTCAGTTCCCCCCCCCCCTACCGTGCTCAGCACGGAAGCTTAGACGTTTAATACATTATTACTCTTAATCCTTGTCTGAAATCATTTTTGTGTTTCATTAATTATTAGAGAAAGATTAAGACGATTCGTTATACCGTTCTCTACTCTTAATCTTGTCTGAATTCAATTCCCCCCACTGCATGGGCCCCTTAACGGTATATGTGCAGTGTTACATGGTGTAAGTACTGAACGCTCGTTCGCAAATCTGTGCATGCTTAGCCCGAGTGGTGGGTAGCATGTTATCTCCCGACAGTACCGTGCTTTGCACAGTAGCTTCTGGAAAGGAATTAGTGTTACTGTTAGTGACCACTATCAGGACCTTAGTGACTAATAAACAACATACATGCTCTTCCTGGCTATTTGGGAATGGGTCAGTCTGCAAGAAATAATGGAGAAACTATAGCATTTTGTTGAAAATCATGTGATATCACGAACATTTATACATTACTTGTGAAAATAAGTCATGGTTCAATTTGATTTGAGGGGGGCTGGCGCCACCCCCCCCCCCCACCAGTACGCCAGTGAATTAGTATCTCCACGCCGGAGTTACTGCTCAAATGTTAGATACGTTTCTGAACAAGCGCCAAGGAGACTGGGGTTATTTTCTTACAAGGAACCTGTTTTTTTGCATGCCCTGATGCCCGTGCTGGGAACCTGAAACCCGCAGAGTACCGATGAAAAAAAGACGTTCGCGAACGCAATTTGTCCGTTTTTACGACTCTAGGATATCCTTGTTTATGCAGACGATCCTCATTCTCTGACCAGCGCCCCTAATCATGTCATAAAATAATGATATTACACTGTATCACAGACATAGTAATATTATAAATAACACATAGATCTAGGGCCATGCATGATTGCATCTCAGAGTCAGACTTAACATTGTTAAACAATCCCTTGGATTTATCTATAATCATGATCATGATTTGTAGATCTAGATCTGGTACTTGCCTTAGTTGCCTAGATCTACATTGAATTGAATCAGCTCAGCTCAGCTCAGTTTGCGTCTAGTCGACGAGTACGAGTGTGCTATTGCAATTAGACTCTGTCAGTCTTTGTTGACTCAGTTTGATAAATTGAGTGTGCTAGTTCGTAGGCCTACTAATAAAAGTAGGCCTAGATCTAGATCAATTACATTACTCAATATAGGGCCTAACAGTTAGATATTACAACATGGAAATGAATGTATGGGAATTAAAAACAGTGCATCTCTAAGTTAGACCATTGCATACATACCGGGTAATTTTTCCGCTGTGCAATTACTTTTATCCCTATCTTGTCAAAGATAAAATACAAATAGGTCTAGACTCTAGAGCATAATATGAAGTTAAACCTACCATTTTCACAGAAATCATCGTAAAAACGTCTCGTCATATGTGCCTGCCCGGACTACGACGACAAACAAACGAAAGCTCGCACGTGTTCTCATACTGGGTAAACAATAGTCAAAACAGCTTTATTGAATCTAGTCTCTTCATCATGGTCAAAGCTGACTCTTTGGCTTGCTGATTCACTTTGTTCCTTAGATTCCCGTAAAAACTATAAACAAACAAACAAATGAACAAAATCCAACATAAGTATATCATCATATCAAAGCATGTTACAGTGCAACTGCATTATAACGAGGCACTTGGGACGAGAGAAGATACATTGTTATAGGTAAAGTCTGCCACATCAGTGCCTTTAATAATGAGGTTCCACTGTATTATGAGTCTAAACATTATACTAAGGTGAATAACAATTAACTTCAATTTAAAGTAATTGGACTTAAATTATCATAATAGCAATACTGTCCAGTATTTAATACACTAAGTGTTGTGAAAATTAGAAGTAAACTCTAAACTGATATCCTACAAATAAGGAATATTTGTAAACGTATTTAACTGTATACAATGGGTGTCGAAAACAGCTTAAATAGACAATGTAATTGCAGAAATGTTATGTGAGCAATAAATGTAATGTCAACCATCTTATATCAAGTTTTGGCGTATTTGAGTGCTTATTTCCTCAGGACTGAGGTTTGAGTTTAATCTAGTTGAGTTATCATTACACAATAAATTCGATACTGATTAAGAGTTTTTGTATATTTCCATACAAACAAATATTCATAATTATAGTACTACACAAAGACCTGCACACTATGCGTACAATGCATCAATCTGATACACGAGCTATTGAAGTTCTACAGTAAAATAACACTGATTGCTGTATGCATACTGAGCGATTCTCTTGAAATTAAACCTAAAAGTTCTATTTATGCTTACCACTGTGCCACTTGTTACCAAAGTCTCAGGCAGGCATAAATAATATGCCGATTAACGATGCAATTCCTTTTCCATCGCCATAACGTGCCCCAGTTTTGGGCCAAAAATTACAATCTTCGCAGACGATAAAATTATGGAATGCCAAATAGACAATTACAACCGCACGGTGTATGAAGTGCCTTTACACTCCCACCAAAATTGCCTTCACTGGTAACATAATCACATGCATGAGTACACTTACATATATATGAAAATGCATTTACTAGTATTACATAAGTGGTGCATGTGAAATAATGTGACCATAATATGGAAATTTTTAAGCAAGCACTCCATACACCTCTTGCATGTAAATTGGTACACTTGCAATCTACAACACGAATAACATGGCAATTGAATAGCTTGATCAAACCAGAATGGCATAAGTGATGATGCGGAACTCAAACAATGCACGTTTATAACATGTGCTGTAAAAGATTATAACACACATTGCAAAGGTTGTAAGGCAAGCTTAAAGGTTGCGACAATATTTAAGCGCTGTGTATCTAAAATTCGCAGCAAACAAGATCAGAATTTGAGTCCTAAATTTTTAAACTGTACCAGAAAACGAAGTACATGTGCAAATGCAAGGTCAAACATTTGTACCCGCTCCAAACAATCTCAAGTGTACATACATACCTGCTCTATGGAGGTACTGTTTCCAGAAGCAGTACGAGCTTCTGAACCGGCCTCCAGTATTCGGCAAGCTTCTTGTTTGGACGACCTTTGTTGTCAAGGTCTTTCGTTCCAACGCGCACCTGTACCCGTCTGACCAGACCATCTTCATCAGGAGTGGCTTCTGCGACCATCGCAATTGGCCATTTCATACGCGGAGCTTCATCGTCAGTGAGCAATACAATGTCTCCCACTTGTAAATTCCGTCTGGGCATCGTCCATTTCTGTCGTCTTTGAAGTCCCAACAAGTACTCTTTCCGCCATCTTGACCAGAACTGTTCCAGTAAGAACTGAACCCTTCTCCAGGCTTTACGCGTGTACACATCCTCCTTCACAAATTGCCCAGGAGGGGGCAACGGAACCGTCCTCTTCAGAGTAAGGAGGTGGTTTGGCGTGAGAGGTGCATCCGCACTTGGGTCATTCAAGAATTGTAGGTCATTCTGAGAGCATGCTTTGTCCGGCGATTTGTCCTCTGCGAAATCTGTCTCAAGCAACCCTATGATCTCCTTTGGCTTCGGAAATGGTATCTCGCGAGTAGAAACCCTCCCACACTGGCTACTGAAGTCCATGGCATTCTCTTCTTCGGCAAAGCCAACAATACTCCAGCCGAGGTCAGTTCGAATAGCAAATGGTTCTACATCGCTACCAGTAACTACTTGTCTTGGTGTCAGAGCTCTTGGGCAATTATAGCCTATCAGTAGGCCGATTTCGCATCTCTGAAGTGCTGGCATCTCTCTTGCAACATCTTGGAGATGAGTCCACTTCTCAGCAGTACTTCTGCTTGGGATGTGTTCTCTATCAGTCGGTATGAAGTCACGCGTATAGCACTTTCCTATCTTGAGCTGGGAGGGCGACATCATACCTCTAACTAAGATACTTGAAGTCACGCTGCAATCAATGTTCGATGACGAAGTCATAGTAGATAACTTTAAGCGTATGGGTTGCTGCTTAGCATTCAGGGCTTGCGCTACTTCATCTAGAATGAACGATGAATCACTCTGGGTATCCAGGAGGGCGTAAGTCAGAATCTCTGACGATGGTGCTTGTTCTGCCGCGACCCACACTGGTACAATCATCGAAGTGCTAGCTTGTTTTCCAGAACGGACTTGGCAAGACGTAGCCATGTCCTCAGAAGCTTCTTCACTCTTGTGCGCATTGCCCTCTCTTATCGTAGGGTTTTCCTCATGAAGAGCCGTGGGATGGCGCTTACCACATGTACTACACTTCAGCCTTTGTTTACATGCCTTAGAAAAATGCCCCTTCTGTAAGCAACCAAAGCATACATGATTTTCTTGAACAAACTTCCTGCGTTCAGAAAGTGGCTTGGCCAAAAACTTGTCACAGTCCTCGGAATTGTGTCCAGTTTCACTACACAGGCAGCAAGGTTTTGGAGCCTTCTTGACTTGGTTTGGGATGTTCTTGCCTTCGGCACTTTCCTTGGTGTTGACAGCCAAAGCAGATCCCTTATTTCTTGCTTCTCGCTCGATCTTGGAGGTCTTGGGACTTGATTCTCTTTGAGAGTCCTCAGATTTCAGGGCACCTAGAGAAGAAATGGGATTGGTGGCTATCCTTGCCTCCTTAGCAACAAATTTCACAAACTTAGAAAATGAAGGATAGCTGCCGCCTTCCAACTCATCTGATACCACCCTATTCCAGCTACTAATCAGCCAGTCTGGAAGTTTGGCTATCATCTTTTGATTCTCATAGCAGTCGTTTAGCACCTGGAGGCCAGTGACATATGGCATAGCATCATCACAAGACTTTAAGTAGTCCGCAAACTTCTGAAGACCTATGGCATCTTTGGAGGATATCTTCGGCCAAGCACTTAGCTTCTTCCGGAACGCTTGTTGGACATTAAAAGGATGACCATACCTCTGTCGAAGGCACCTCCATGCCCCATCATATGCCTCTTTGGAGTCCCCGAAAAAGAAACCTTCCACCGCCTCCCTTGCCGGACCAGTCAGGTACTGCTTCAGATAATACAGCATCTCTGTTGGTGGTATGCCACGGTTTTCGATCAAAGTCTTGAAACCTTTCTCGAACTCTATAAACTCAAGCGAATCCCCACTAAAGGTGCGTGGCACTGGCATCGGAAGTCTTGTGTGGTACATGTTGTCTGCTAAAGCCTTACATAAGCCCTGGACGTCAACCGACGTTATCTGAGGCGGCTGTAGTGGTGTCTTGTCACGAGGTTCCACATGCGAATCAGGTAGACTATCATGTAGCTGGCCTACTCTAAACTCTGGGCCCATCTCATCTTGAAGGGAAGGAGATGACGTCTTGGCAGGAAGTTCTGCTGACTGCCCTTGAATACCTTCAGGTGGTTGGTTTACTCCAACTCCTGGGTACATTTTGTCTTGAGGAGGAAGTGATGGTGTGTTACGAGATTCTACAGGCTGTCCAGGATTGCTATCAATGTCAATTACTGGTGTGGCTCCACGCGGTTGGCTGGTTTCAACCCCTTGGTCCATTTCGCTTAAAATTGAGCTGAAGACCGATGAAGCATATTCTTGTTTCAAGAATTCTTTCGCTATCTGCTTCCGATCCTCGGCGTCAAAAGGACCTTCTAGGGATCCCAGAACTTCTTCCAGGGCGTTGAGGCTATCTCTGACCATTGCGTTGGCACGGTCCATCCTCGTGGTGGCCTCTCTTATGGGGACCTTGTGTCTCCTCAAAATCTCGTAGGTTTCCATCAATTCCCTCTCTCCAGCTTCCAATATGGATATCTGTTGTTTGATGGGACCTTCTTCTGTCTCTGTCTTAATGATTGTTCTAGCTGCCTTTACTGTGGCCTTAAGGGAGCCATACATCTTGAAAAACTTCCGCTCTGTCTTTGATTCTTCAGAGGCCTGAAGAGCGGCCATTTTTTCTGTGGGCTGCCTCTCCCTTGATGACTTTCTTGAATCTGCCATGTTTAATTGGCTTTGACACAACAGAAGTGTAATAAGGAGCTGGCCTCTTATGCTAAACCATGCACTTGCACCTTGTACAGCAAATTGACCAAATTAAATTGTCATGCAACTAGAGTGAAATCAAACATCAATTTAAGCAAAGCTACAGCGCTAAGCCTACCAACCTCATCAATGTAAAACCGCTTAAAATGCTTCTTGCTAATGCAATTACAAATACTCCATAGTAATTTGATTTTACATCTCCCAATAAAGCCTTTACGCACGCCTCAAAATTCGCTTATCAAAAGGGCTTGAATGCAGACCACGCGATCATGCGATAAGGTTCAACATCGCCACATATTCCTTCCTTGCTTGACTCTGAACTGCGATGTCAATATCACTTTGTAATGAAATTACACCTTTAACTTTCTTGTCACTTGAGCACAAAACTAATGCTGGCTACCTGCAAACAAAACATGCAGTATTTGCAGAATCATATTGGAAACACTTTTCAATAGACTACTATACATGAAATAGTTATTAAAATTCAACTTTTACTTGACCTCTGTTAATTTGTTATCAAGAGTCTTGAAGTTTCACAGAGCCTATTATAGCTCTGGTTCTAACTACTTTTATTTCATCAAGTTCAGATCCAATGTTTCATTTATAAATTCAATGTTGTTGGCTTGATTTATGCTTCAAGTTCAAACCTGGCTGGACCTGGACTGTACAAGACTAAACCACGCTGGCTCCCGGGCTGTATGGCTTGACCGGGCCGATTCCCGGGCTGTTGTTCAAGCTGGACTTCAGCTGGATTAGGCTAGTTCATAAATTATGCTAGGGCTGCTACGAGAGGCTGACACAGAATAGTCTTGAACTTGGGCTTGGCTGATCCGCTAACATCTACGCTGGGCTTTAGTCCTTAGACTCTTAACTAGACGTGACTGTGGGCTGGATCTATCAAGGCCGTCGCTGGTCCTGTTACATTATGGCTGCATGCCAACTGCTGGTGCAAATTATGGTAAAGCCACGTATTTTATAACAGTGAATAATAACGATTGTGGCCGATTCCAGCTTAGCGTCCATAATACACCTCAATAATAAATCGATGACACTGCTGCATTGCAACCATAATTCATTGTAACTGTAACATTAGTGTAGATCAAACTGCATAGCGTCCATACACAGCTTTACATACCTCGAACTATTGAGACATATGAGAAATGACTGGATCACAACATCATTTCACAATCCAAATCAAAATCCATCAACATCCACTCAGATTCTGAGATTCATGCGTTATGGTGCAATTCTAGCTGATCTCTAGCATATATCCTGTGCTCGTCGCCAAACGTAGTTATGTTCGTAGGTTCATCCAGCTGAAATGTCATGTTGAACTCAACTCAAATGTCTAGCGTCTATTTATTGGCTCCATCTTGATAATCAGGCTTGTTGATGATGATGAGGCCATTTTGACGCTACGTTGGAAGTGTTTTTACTGTGCCTGCCCGGACTACGACGACAAACAAACGAAAGCTCGCACGTGTTCTCATACTGGGTAAACAATAGTCAAAACAGCTTTATTGAATCTAGTCTCTTCATCATGGTCAAAGCTGACTCTTTGGCTTGCTGATTCACTTTGTTCCTTAGATTCCCGTAAAAACTATAAACAAACAAACAAATGAACAAAATCCAACATAAGTATATCATCATATCAAAGCATGTTACAGTGCAACTGCATTATAACGAGGCACTTGGGACGAGAGAAGATACATTGTTATAGGTAAAGTCTGCCACATCAGTGCCTTTAATAATGAGGTTCCACTGTATTATGAGTCTAAACATTATACTAAGGTGAATAACAATTAACTTCAATTTAAAGTAATTGGACTTAAATTATCATAATAGCAATACTGTCCAGTATTTAATACACTAAGTGTTGTGAAAATTAGAAGTAAACTCTAAACTGATATCCTACAAATAAGGAATATTTGTAAACGTATTTAACTGTATACAATGGGTGTCGAAAACAGCTTAAATAGACAATGTAATTGCAGAAATGTTATGTGAGCAATAAATGTAATGTCAACCATCTTATATCAAGTTTTGGCGTATTTGAGTGCTTATTTCCTCAGGACTGAGGTTTGAGTTTAATCTAGTTGAGTTATCATTACACAATAAATTCGATACTGATTAAGAGTTTTTGTATATTTCCATACAAACAAATATTCATAATTATAGTACTACACAAAGACCTGCACACTATGCGTACAATGCATCAATCTGATACACGAGCTATTGAAGTTCTACAGTAAAATAACACTGATTGCTGTATGCATACTGAGCGATTCTCTTGAAATTAAACCTAAAAGTTCTATTTATGCTTACCACTGTGCCACTTGTTACCAAAGTCTCAGGCAGGCATAAATAATATGCCGATTAACGATGCAATTCCTTTTCCATCGCCATAACGTGCCCCAGTTTTGGGCCAAAAATTACAATCTTCGCAGACGATAAAATTATGGAATGCCAAATAGACAATTACAACCGCACGGTGTATGAAGTGCCTTTACATCATAATATTTATTCGTCTTCAATCAAGCTAGGGCTGGTTTTGTTTACGAAGCGCCCAAGCCAGGAGAAAAAAGTTTAAGATAAAGTTCACGATAAAATTGACGAATATCGTGAATTTTATCGTGAACTTTATCGCATATTTTTCACGAAGAAATTGACGATATCGTGTTATCGTGAACTTTATCGTGAACTTTTCACGAAGAAATTGACGATTTCGTGAATTTCTTCGTGAAAAATATGCGATAAAATTCACGATATCGTGAATTTTATCGCATATTTTTCACGATTTAGTCTTTTCGCGATGTCCCTTCAGGGCCACCATACAGATGCAAAGAAAAAGACACCATCCAAGGTAGAAAGGGAAGAGTAAATAAATCGATGTTTTCATAAGGGTAAGAAAGATCCTGAAAGCGTAACAAACTGGTTTGGTAAATCAATCTTTCACTGGCGTTGAGTGTAGTGTTTCTGTGATGTTATGTCTTGCACTATTGTTCCTTGAGTATTCGGTTTTCAAGTCATTTCAAAGTTCTCACTATAACGAATCTTGATAATTACATGTATGTTCATTTAGCTGAATGGCATGTACCAATTAAAGTACACCTTGCACACCCCTCCCCCTCCCCTTCTCCCCTATTTCACTGATGCCTCCTCATTGGCTGCATGCCTTCTAAACAAACACTGTTCTTATTATGATTATTCATCTTTAATTATCCCATCCCTGTCTTCATGTCTCTTTTCCCTTTTTCCTAATCTCTTTCCTTCTGTATCCCCTTTATCCCTCTACCCTTTTCTATATTTTACTTATCACCACCAATCTCCCGCTCTCTCTTCCCCCTCTATTGCTTTATATATTTGTTTCCTCTCTCTCTCTTCCCTATCTCTCTCTCCTTTTTTCCCTCTCTCTCTCTTCCCCCTCTATTGCTTTATATATTTCTTTCTAACTCTCTCTCTCTATCTCTCTCTCTCTTCCCAATCTCTCTCTCCATCTTTCCCTCTCTCCCTTTCCCCCCTCTATTGCTTTATCTATTTCTATTTCTCCCTCTCCCTCCTCTTATCTCGTTCTATATTATTAATTCCTTTCTTCCTCCACTTTATCTCTCTCTCTCTCTCTCTCTTTCTTTCTCTCTTCCACTTTCTCCCCCACTCCCCTAGTATCGCTTTTTCACACACATTACCCACAAACCAACAGCTTAAAAGTTCTTTTCCATCTAATATTCCTTCCAGGTGTCTCTGATTCCATTGTTTCACGTCACCATAATACAAAAATCATCAGAGTATTTGTTTTTCATCCCTAGTACACACGTATGGGCATATTTTCGTGTAATAGCCTCTCACCCAAAAATATAATGGATTCAAAATATTGTGAGCAAGCGAGCAAGGCATCATATTCACTCATCTCGTTGTCAGGAATCGTCCTGACTATCAATTTTTTGAGAACTAGAGCAAGTAAGTGGGAAAAGATTGTTATGGCATAAATTTCATTTCTACATATAGAATACAATAAATAAGGTTATATTCGGGAACTATGCTGCCCGAATCATGACGAAATTCGGGCAGTGAGAAATAGAGAAAGGAAGAGAGAGATAGAGACATAGAGAGAGATAGAGACATATAGAAGAAGATATCGATCATATTTATTTCATATTATTCATTCGATATAACTGAGTTGATTGTAGTCTGTACTTTGTTCCAATATGTTATAAATTATAATATGTAATAGAGATACTAGTAGGCCCTACTACAGAACAAAATATAGAGGGGGGGGGGGGTTATAACAATATTAATTCATTCAATATAATTGAGATTACTGTATTTTGTACTCTGTAATTGTTTCCAATATGTTATATATTACAATTTGTATGAATTAATATTATTTATTGAGTGAATACAATAAAGAATATTACAAAACAAAAAAACTATGGGAGGGGGGGGGGGGCAGAACAACTTATATCTGCATTCGATATTACTAAGATTGATTATACTCTGTGCGGGTTTTTTCCCCCCCATTATGTTATATAGTTAAATGATGTATGATTCGATGTTATGTATTGAATGATATAATGTAACACAGATGTACATGTATGAATTGATTTGATGTATTGAATGAACACAATAAAGAACATTACAAAACAAAATATTAGTTGATTTTTACTTTGTATTCTCATCTTCCCTCGTCTAACTAAAGACAAACATAACCCATCCCACATGCATACAACTGTTTCTCCGTTTATTATAAAATTACCTATTTTTTTCATCCACTTCTTTCTATGACACCAACCTTGTTCACAGCAAAATGACCAACATATTATCTACAGCTTACCTTAATTACCAGTGTCTTGCGACTTTAACCTTTGCAATGTGATGTCCGAAAGAAAGTTGATCGGCTAATTGTCCATTTAATGATTAAAACTTTGTCTGAAGGAGAACAGTTCATCCAACCTCTAGTAATATGTGTATTAGGTGCCAATCAAGATGGCGTCTTTTTGTGTGCCTTCCCACGTCAAACTGATGCTCAACTTGACACAAATTTGCCCACAAATGTTTGGCATTTTTCACTCATGCATGCATACAGTGCATTAATATGGCAAGTAGACAGAGAAAAGTAATTGTCGCCCAAACACACAATGTATTTCAGTTCGAAACCCTTTGTATAACTTATTACCCAGATACAAAGAAAAAAAACACTATCCAAGGTAGAAAGGGAAGAGTAAATAGATTGATGTTTTCATAAGGGTAAGAAAGATCCTGAAATTCTAACAAACTTTGGATCACGTGTTCTTCCATGCTAGAGACATAGTGAGTGGAAAAAACCTTTGCCCATGTAAGGCCATCGCTGTGGAATGTAAGTATAGCAGATTAGTTGAGGTATATATAATAATCTAAAGTACATTATCTGTTTGATTCGGGTAAAAAAACAAATCAATATTTGTCTTTCTTTCACTGGCGTTGAGTGCAGTGTTTTTATGTGATTTCATGTCTTGCACTAGTGTTCCTTGAGAATTCGGTTTTTAGGTCATTTCAAAGTTCTCACGATAACGAATCTTGATAATAACATGTATGAACATTTAGCTGAATGGCATGTACCCAAGTACATGTTGCGCACCCCCTTTCCTTCTCCCCTTTTCACTGGTGCCTCCTCATTGGCTTCATCCATTCTACAAAAGCATTTTTCTTATTATGATTATTGACCATTAATTATCCCCCCTCCCTCTCCTATTTTCCCTTTCCCTTTTTCCCCATCTCTTTCCTTCTTTATCCCTTTTATCCCTCTCTTCATCTTTCACTCTCTCTCTCTGTCTCTTCCCCGTCTGTTGCTCTATATATTTCTCTCTCTCTCTCTCTCT